CCTTCCAAGGAGTAAGTGCCTTTTAATTTCATGGCTGTACTGAAAGGAAAACAGAATGGTTGTTGGGTGCAGGATGCTTGTCAGTGTACCAGCTGTTTACCTTCATGGATCATTGTGGGACTGACTGGGAGCTGCAGTTCTTTGCCCAGCAGCACTTGATTATAAAATAGCAAATAACCAGCCCGGTGGCAGGGGTAGGAGGGGAAAGGTGCACATTAAATCAAGTTTCAAAATTTTAAGTACAGCTTCTACTGAATGGGTATCACTTTCCCACCACCATAAAGTCAAAAAAAAAATTCCCAAGTCAAACGACCCTAAGTCTAAGAATGTCTGTGGTCCAAAGCTTCTGAGTTCAGGCCACATGATCTCCTCCATTACTGTTGGCATTTGTTTAGCAAGGAATGCTCATTTTCAAAGCTTCATAACTAAGACTTTTCCAGTGTCACATGTTTCTACATGATTGTATGTAGATTTTACAATGCCTAATTCCCTGCTGATATTCTGGTGAGGGAATAGCTTTCCTTCACGAGTGTGCCTGATAAGGGATGGGAATAAAGGTATCTGGTCCTTAGTCCTGCCCCTACTATATCTGATGTGAAAGTCAAAGTCACACAGTCATGTCCAACTCTTTGCAATCCAATGGACTCTACAGGCCCTGGAATTCTCCGGGCCAGAATACTGGAGTGGGTAGCCTTTCCCTTTTCCAGGGGATCTTCCTCATCTCAGGGATCACCACATTATAGGTGGATTCTTTATCAGCTGAGCCACCAGGGAAGCCCATATATCTGATGAACTTGGACAATAAACCTTTCCTGACCTCAAAGCTAAGGGGGATGGACACTACACATAGGTACTAAATGATAGTTTCTTATTCAGATTCAATTCATCAAGTATTTATGGAGCTTGTTCAGTTTAGTTGCTCATTCATGTCCAGCTCTGTGACCCCATGGACTGCAACACACCAGGCCTCCCTGTCCATCACCAACTCCCAGAGTTCACTCAAACTCATGTCCATTGAGTTGGTGATGCCATCCAACCATCTCATCCTCTGTTGTCTCCTTCTCCTTCTGCCTTCATTCTTTCCCAGCATCAGGGTCTTTTCCAATGAGTCATTCCTCACATCAGGTGGCCAAAGTATTGGAGTTTCAGCTTCAGCATCAGTTCTTCCCATGAATATTCAGGACTGATCTCCTTGAGGATTAACTGGTTTGATCTCCTCACAGTCCAAGCGACTCTCAGGAGCTTTCTCCAACACCACAGTTCAAAAGCATCAATTCTTCAGCACTCAGCTTTCTTTAAAGTTCAACTCTCACATCCATACATGACTACTGCAGAAACCGTATCTTTGACTAGATGGGCTTCTGTCAACAAAGTAATGTCTCTGCTTTTTAATATGCTGCCTAGGTTGGTCATAGTTTTTCTTCCAAGGAATAAGCATCTTTTCATTTCATGGCTGCAGTCACCAACTGCAGTGATTTTGAAGCCCCCCAAAAATAAAGTCTGTCACTGTTTCCATTGTTTCCCCATCTGTTTTCCATAAAGTGATAGGATAAGATGCCATGATCTTAGTTTTCTGAATGATGAGTTGGATCTTAATGCTAAGTTTTTGAAATCTTTTCTGAATGTTGAGTTGGATGCCATGACCTTAGTTCTCTGAATGGAGCTTATACTATGTATCAAGTACTAGACTGGATCCTACATATTTACTAAAGATTTTTAACCTCCCTTGATCCCTCAGGCAATTCTCATCATTTGAAGTGAGTTCTAAAAATTTTAAACAAGGCCATGCACTCAAAAAAAGTAAAAAACATATCTGGTTCACTTGGCAATAGTCTTGGGGAGAAGCTTTAAATGTGGGTATCAATAGAATTACCTATGGAAGTAGCCCATAGCATAACAGTGCTTATTAAAATACTTTAATTTATTCATGTATTCACTAAGTACACACCAGAGACTGGCCCAGACTATCAGAGATACAGAAGTAACTAAAATGGTCTGTGACCATGAGGATTAACAGAGTGGAAGCCACAGTTTATAAGGACAGAGGAAAACACACATGTATATCATTAGAAACCACATTTATAAAGGTAATATAAGTAAAATTTGAGGTTTTAATATACTTCAGTTACTGTATTACCTGATTAGATTATAAATTATGAGAAATGACATTTCAGTTTCTGTTTAGTATTCTACATCTTTTAGTTGGCATTTGCAAACACTCAATAATTATGTGTTCAATGACTATATGTGATCTCATTAATCCATTTTATAGCTGAGGAAATTGTACAGTAACTGGTAATTCTATTGGTGAAACTCAGAAATTTCTGTTAACCACCTTCTAACTCCTCTTTACAGATTCCCATAAATATATACAAGGTGAACCAAGTGAGGAAAATTCACGAACATCTGACTGTATTTCCACTGGACCATGAACTATAAGACATCAAGAGGCATGTCTGTCTTATTTCTCATAATATTCTCTAGTATGCCAAGTATGTACACACACACACACACACACAAATACACACAGAGTCTTTCAGTTTTGGCGTTTGATTCTAACATGTTTCCTTCCAAGGATATATTTTATACCTATTAGTGTTAGTCAGTTCCTTTATTCGTTTGCTGAGGCTACTTGAAAAACACCGTAGACTGAGAGACAAACAACTGAAATCTTTTTTATCACAGTTCTACATACCAGAAGTCCAATATCAAGGTGTCAGCAAGGTCAGTGTCTGGTGAGAGGGCTCCTTCCCTCGTTTGCAGGTGGTCACCTTACCAGGTCCCCACAACAGCTTTCCTCCTCGCATGTACATGTATAAAGCAAACTTTCTTATACGGCCACCATTTCTGCCTAATTAGGACCCCCACTCTTAAGATATAATTTAGGTTTAATCACCCTCTAAAAGCCCTATCTTCAGATATAACTTCACACTAAGAGTTTAAGCTTCAACATACCAATATTGGGGAAACACATTCAGTCCATCGCATCTCCTACTCTTGATCTCTTCTCAACCAGATGAAAAGAAGCAAAGAATCCCAAATTAATGCAGCCCCTACAGAAGAGTGTCCTAGGCATACAACAGGCAATAACACTGGAAAACATACCTGGAAAAGCCAGAAAACTTCCACTGCAGTAGGTTGAAAGAATGATGAATAGACTAAATGAAGCTATAAAATGTTGTGGAGACTGGGGAGGTATGAGAACACATTAGTTCAGGGCAAAGGAGTTATAAGCCATAAAGTTGAGGTCACCAGGGACTAGATGTGGAAGGATTTTGTATGATTAGCAAAGGATTTTGGACTTTATTTATCCAAAAAGTATGAGAGAAAACACAGAAAAAGGGGACAGAATTAAAGGAAATTGATGATAACCAAATTCTAAAAACCAGTAATAATACCTCAAAATCTTCTATAGAAAAAATTTATTATTTACAGAAGAATAGAAATAAAGATAAGAGATAAGAGTGTTTAGCATTATGTGAACCAAAGAAAATGGCTTACAGTCGTAAAAGAACTGAAAGAAAAACACTTTTCTATCTCCAGAAAAAAATACTTTTCAAAACTTAGGTAAAAATAAAGACTTTTTAGACATGCAAAGGCTGCAAGAATTTGCTGCTAACAGATATGGTATACAAAAAATAAAAATTAAAGGAGTTAAAGGAAGAATAGAAATGATATTAAAAGGAAAGTTGGATCAACACAAAAGACTGTAGAGTGCCAAATATGGTAAATACATGGGTAAATACAAATGACATTTTCTAATTTTTTTCAAGTTTATTGTGGTAAGAAAAATTAACATGAGATCTGCCTTCTTAAGAGAATATTCACTTTTACCATGATGTCCTTAGCCATAATAGAAGTCTCAAATTTTAAACAACTGAAATAAATCTGAGCATGCTCTTCGATCACAATAGAATTAAAACTGAAATTATCAGAAGATAGCAAGATAACTCGAAATTGCCCACATGTGTATGAAGTCAATAATACATTGCTAAAGAAACAGTTTGAAGAAGAAACAAGAAGAGAAATTAGAAGGTATTTCAAACTGGATGAAAATTAAAACACATCAATTTTTGAGATGTGATTAAAGCAGGAAAAGTAAATGGTAAAGTCAATCACCTAAATTCACATATTAAAAAGCTGGATATAGAAGAGCAAATAAAAACCCAAAGTGTGTGAAAGGGAAAGAAACAAATAGCGTGCTATACACACAGTAACAGAAAGCAGATCAGTAATTGCGTGGGCTGGAAGTTGAGGGTCATTGACCAAAAAAGGTCAGCAGAGAACATCTTAGCATGAGAATTTTCCCTATTTTGTTGGCAGTGGTGATTACAAGAAGGTATAGAATTATCAAAAGTCACTGAACTTTACACCTGAACTGAGTGTTTTATTGTATGTAAATTCTGCCCCATTAAATTTGATTTAAAATTTAACAAGTGCACTCAACATTTAGCAGCAACCCTTTTGTTAAGCATGGAAGTTGGAAATATAAATTAATGAAGATGGCGATTCTGATTACAGCAGCTACTAGAGATAAGATAAACACCTATTTTCCAAACACTGACCTAAACCAGTTTGGATAGAAAACATAACACACTTGTAAACAACAACAACAAAAAAAAACCCTGAGTGGTATGTATAATTACCCCCTTTTTCCAAGCAAAGAAACTGAGATTTAAAAGTTTAATTAACCAACCCACAGTCATAGACATTAAAGAAAGCAACAGAGATTGAAATTCCAGTCCAAGTGAGCTGACCACTCAAGAACAGTGTATTGGTGGCCAGATACATCACTGGCCACCACAGTTGGTGGGTTAACACAAGCAAGATCTTGTCCCCAAAATGTGTTTACATTTGGTGAATTTAGCACTGTTCTCTTGTTTCAACTAACTTTCACTTGATTCATTCCAGCGACTCTGCATTTAGGTGTGCCTCTTTGTAATGCTTTACATGTTTAGTTTCACATACACCACCTCCCCTCTTCCATTTTCACCACTCACCTTGGACACTTAATTATCACCATATTCTGTGTCCTGTGCCTGGCATGAAGCCTCTCGGAGCTTGCATATGGGAGAGTGTTCTGTACAATGGAGTCTCTTTCTCCATGGAGGCTCAGTCTTCCCCAGCGCAGCAGGTAGAATGCTGCGGGCAACTGGCCAGACTGCGCACACAATCTGTTTAAGAGATGGAAACAGAAGCAGTGCTCGGAAACACGTTCTCAGCCTTTATGCATTTTACAACATATGTGCCAGCAAAGAGTCCCATTGGCTGTATTATTTCAGAGGCTGAGTGTCCAGAGCAAAGTGAGACAGCATTGCAGTGTGGAGGGCGTGTACATCGTGTGTGTATCAGCCTGGTAGCAACCGCAATAATGATTTCCCTTCTGAAACAGAGGTCCGCCTGAAGTTGACTAATGAGTCATAAGAGACACTCTTGTGCTTGCTGCTTTTTATCCCCTTCTTCCTTCAGAAAGAATGGATTTCACACCTACAAGAGCACCTTTCCCCAGTGCAAAGGTTTGAAAACCTGCTGACCCACTTTAAAGGTTGTACATGGATTTGTGACCTGGCCCTGTCACTCAGAGGTTGAAAGATTGTGGGTAATTCACTTATCTTCTCTGTTTCATTTTCTTTAGTGGCAAGTGAAGCAAAAGATACCAGCATCACAGGCTGGGGGTGAAAAAATTCAATGAGATAACACATTCAACCTTTTACATAGGCTTTAAGAGAACTGTAACATAATTCACAATTATTGCTCTTGGTAAACATCTCATTGTTGAGGTTCTTCTCCTTACTAAACACCCTTGCTTCCTATTCAAGGGAAAAGCTTTTGAAGATGACATCATAAAATCATAAAAATGTGCTAGCAGGAACTTGGAATCCAAAGCTTAGCATTTTCACAAGTGAAACTGAAGTCCATGGAAGGGAAATATTTTGCCCATAATTCTGAGCTTGGTTACTCTTACCTGCTGTGAAATTTGACTTTTGAGATCACTGAATATCATTATTAACAAGACATGTCTATACAATAGATCCCAATGCTGTTTTTCCTATGCCACTGTTAAGAATTTTCCACAAGGCACACTTCTCCCTAGACAAAATACTGTGTACATGCATAGCATAATATTAATATTTTGCACGTTTCAGATCATCCAAATTCCAGCACCAAAAACCGAATCATGAAATGTAAGGGTTGGAAGTAACTTTAGGATAACTAGTCATTCTATCTGTACTTCATGCTTCTTTGTTTGCTGAGTACCAAGAACTCTGGAATTTCTGGTCCAGACTTTTTAAGGGGCATGCCAAGAGGTACGCAAGTGATAGGTGTTCGTGGGTGTGGGTTGCAATCCGTAACTTTCAAGCAAAGCCTCTTACTGCTTCAGGGCTGAGAAAGAATGTGGTTCTCAGAAGCCAGTTCTCCCCGGGCCACCACTTTCCAGCACAAAAATCCAAGGCTCTGAGAGTTCTAAATCCAAACCTGGCTTTGCACATTGTTATGACATTGTATTTGTCAAGCTAGGAGGATAAATTTGAAAGTTTATTAGCTTGGTTTGTAATCCTTAAATATTTAGACACATGGTATGTGGGCTTCCATTTGCACTCTTATCCAGGGCCCTGCAAATGCTAGGGGCAGGCACACTGGAAGCTACACTTGAAGATTGTTTGCTGGAAATGAAGGTTTTCCAAACCAGAATCCAAAAAAACTAATCTAAGAAATGAGAAAAGGTTCTCCTTTTAAAAAAATAAAGACTTGTGATAAGTGAAAGAAGAGCAATCACACTGCTGCCTGTTAGATACTCAGTCCTCTCTTGCTGGCTACAATCATCAGTATTATTACCATTTCAGTAGTAGTAACTATCATAGCACCATCATTTAGCAGCCTTCAGAGCATATATTACTGCTTTAAATCATTATTTGTTTCTGGGTTTGTTACCTTTCATTCCACTAAAATACGTCATATGAGAGAGTGGGCCTTATCCGGCTTAATCACCGGTTTCCTCAGTGACTATAACACATTCTTTACTGACTGGGCCACCAGAAAAGCCCCATGTAACACAGGAAGCATTAAACGGGCTCCCCCCAGATGGCACAAGAGGTAAAGGATCTGCCTGCCAGTGCTGGGGTCACTAGAGTCACAGGTTCGATCCCCGAGTCAGGAAGATCCCCTGGCGTAGGAAATGGCACCCCACTCCAATATTCTTGCCTGGAGAATTCCATGGACAGAGGAACCTGGGGGGTTACAGTCCATGGGGCTGAAAAGAGTTGGATGTGACTGAGCACACAGCACATGCTTTAAATAAACACTTTTTAAAATTCCATTAGACAGCTGATTTTAGAATGCACTCAGTAACAGGCCCCAAAGATTTACAAATGCCAGTTGTTTTTACCCATGACTGGGCAGGGGAGAGTTGCAGTCACAATCACACATCATGTTATTGCCTTCCCTCCATCCTCAGGAAGAGTCAGAGGGAAAATTTTAAACAAACATTTTAAAAATCAAAAAGCAGGGTCATTTTCTATGTCAGGGTCTTGCAGGCTATCTGCAGGAAGGCAATCAGGACTTTTGGGAAAGAGGATATCAGGTTTAAATAAGACTGGGTAATGCTGCGTTATATCATTATCTCTAAGGGGAGGTCAGAGCCATATCCCCATTTAAGAGGACAAACATACGGACACTAAAGGGAGAATGGGGTGGGGAGGGGTGTTGGGATGATCTGGGAGACTAGGATTGACACATACATTATTGGTATTATGGATAGGACAGATAACTAATGAGAAGTTGCTCTATAGCACCAGAACTCAACTCAGTGCTCTGCGGTGACTTAAATGGGAAGGAAATGCAAAAAAGAGAGAATATATACATACTGGTAACTGATTCATTTTGCCATACCATAGAAACTAACACAACATTGTAAAACAACTATATTCCAATAAAAATTTTAAAATAAATAAACCTGATTAAAAAAATAATAAAAGAACTGCAAACAGAAAGGGTAATTAATTGACTCTAGGCCAAGTAGCCAGTAAGAGATGGCATGCGCTTTGAATCAGGAGAGTTCAACTCCTCCTGAGCCTGAAATTTTACCAGTAAACTTTCCAAGTATAGTGTGAATATGATAGTGTGTCTCCTTCATTCACGGAACAGCTCAAGAATTCAGTGTTTCCCAAAGAACAGCAAAACTTCATGGTTTCTCTTGCTTCCATCACTTAAATCTTGCGAAACTATGGCTTAGTAGTGAAGGCCTGCTATTGAAAGCTTACCCCATCCATACCACCAAATCACTTCCAGCTTTGCTTGTATCAGGCAGTAAGCATGAGCCTCTAATACTTTTGAGAAAATACCTATATATCAAGCTATATCTGAGTCCCCAATATTGTGGCTCGCACACAGAGTAAGGGCTCAATTCACAATGAGTGAATTAACTGTGAAATTACCTGGTCATCCAGCTGTTAGGCCTCATCACTTTCACTGAGGCCTAGGTTCAATCCCTGATTGAGGAAACTAAGATTCTACAAGCCTCACAGTGAGTCAGGAAAAAAAAAAAAAGGAGAGAGAGAAAGAAGAAAGAAAAGCACTGAAGTTAAGTTTTAACTCACCTCTACCACTCACTACTGGTACACTTTTAAACTTCTTAATCACTTCGAGCTTCCATTTTTCCAATGGAGGTAATGCTACTAAACCAGGTTCATTTTTCCCGACTCACAACAAGCTAAGTTGCTGAGACGCCAAGGCTTGCAGTGACGAGAGGGGTTTTGACAAAGGCAGCCAGTCAAGGAGACAGAAGGACTCCAGATCCACTTTCCAGAAGGCAAGGTGCTTGTGGCATTTATGGGATAAGGAAAAATGCAGCAAGGCAGCCCAAGGTGGGGAGAGCCTTTAATAAACCGAGGCGCTCAGCTTGACCTGAGGCCCTCTGATATCAAAAGGTCAAGGAGCTGAGATTTGCACATGCCCACTCTTAACCAGCTTAGCCTAAACTAGACACAGCTGACTCCAAGTCCCTGGAAAGCTCAGGCAAACATATTGTTTAGGCTGCCGTGCTGCTTGGAAGGCATGCAGAGTTTTGGTAGTTTTCACTCAACCTTGATGAGGGAAGGCAGGTGAAATGGATTTGGCTAATAATTATCCAGTTTAAGTAATATCTACTCTGCTCTTCTGGCCATTTGTAAAGAACAACTGAAATAACAATAGCAAGCACATTTCCATGGCATTTCCAGGTAGCAGTCTCTCAACACTTACACAGGATCTTTTTTAATCATTGCTCAGTCGTGTCCAAATCTCTGAGAGCCCATGGACTGTAACTCACCAGCCTCCTCTGTCCATGGAATTTCCCAGATAAGAATACTACAGCGGGTTGCCCTTTCCTACTCCAGGGGAATCCTCCCAACCTAGGGATCAAACTCAAGTAAGTCTCTTGCGTCTCCTACATTGGCAGGCATATTCTTTACCATTAGTGCCACCTGGGAATCCTTACAAAAGTTCTAATAGGAATGTAGTGGGAGGGTTTCTCATCCCCAGAAAAGTAAGACAACAGAAGTTTAAACATCTTGCCCAGGCTCATTCAGCTTATAATTGGGAAGAGCTGGATGGGAACACAGCAATCTAACCATAGGGTTTCTGGCTGTTACCCTCTCTCTCCATTGTGCAATTACATTTTGTTGATTTGTTGTTTAGTTGCTAAGTCATGTCCAACTCTTTTGCAGCCCCATGGATTGTAGCCCACCAGGCTCCTCTGTCCATGGGATTCTCCAAGCAAGAATACGGGAGTGGGTTGCCTTTCCTTTCTCCAGGGGATCTTCCTGACCCAGGTATCGAACCCCCATCTCCTGCATTGCAGGCAGAATCCTTACCACTGAGGCACCCGGGGAAACCTTTGTTGATTACAAAACACTATTCAAAGAAGAGAACTTCTTATTGTTATCTTCTCTTTTAGAAAAGACAGTTCCTCCCCTGCTTTTTGTACATCCAATTCTTGTCCTGATTGCTCTGCAGGTTTGTCGGTATTCTGTTATCCTGTAGTCATGGCGCAGAATTTCGGTTCTGAAGAAAGTAGATTTACTTGCCCTATACTAAGCTGACTTGTCAGCCCTGTTAGCTGTGTGAGGCCTTGTGTTCACGCTTCCCGCTGCCCAGCCAAGCCTTGGGAGTGTAAACCAAGATTCTCATGAATAAA